ACAGTTAACTTTTTTTTTTTTTTTCAGTGGCCCTAATCCTCTTCCGTAAAAAGCAGTTAATTTACTACAACTGACTCTTTTTCTGGTAAAAAATAATTTTCTTTTTTACTTTTAAGGGTTCTTCTTTTTTGTATTTTATTTTTTTATTTTTCATTATTTTTGTTTAAAATTATTGGAATTATCATCATGTGATTAAAGGTAATAAAGCCAGTGTTTGGTGATTGTTCATCTAACCTAACCACTTTATTGACATGGTTGAGAACAGGTTATGTGGTATTTTTAGCTGACCAGCCAAGTCATATTTTGACTAAAACACCTTAAGTTGTTTGTTTTATTTTTTTTTGGCAAAAAGTTATGTTTTTTTTAACTCTATAATCTGTCTGATTTTATTTCACGAGTGATTTTTTGTTTATGAAAATTTAAAGTTGTGAAGTCTCAGTTATAAAACACAGATGAATTTATAAATCACACTTATATGAAAGCTGTAGGGCTCACTGTGGCCCCCTGCTGATGTGGAAGACCTGGGAAGCTGCTTAGTTTGCTATGAGATTTTTTCAGGATTTATGGTTTGATAACATCTTCAAACATTTTTTTGTTTCACTTTAAGTCATGTGATAACAGGATGACTATCACAAGACTGCATCACTCCTGACTTTTGTGTGATTCTACCATTGTTTCATTATTTAATGTAAACAATAGCTTCTGTGTTTGTTTCGTCGTTTCAACTTTCTCCCACCCTTGTTTTCATCACCTTTTCTTTCCATCTATTAAACCAGCCTGTGGGCGTGATGTTGATCCTTCCACTCTCCATTCTCGCCCTCCGCTGCCAACTGCTCCCCGTCCCTCCCCCCGCCGTGCCCGACATTCATTCTCAGCCACTCCTGTCCAGTCTGAGATCCAGCCCTCCCCTGGTCCCTCCCCTCAGCCTTCGCCAAGGTGTAAGCGTCCAAAGACAGCCAATCCCAACCTCCATGATGCTTCTGTGAGTGACTCTGTAACCAGGCCTCCTGAAACTCCACCCTCAGCAGATCATCCTCCAGTTCAGAGCACCTCCTCCGTTTCTGCTCTCGCAGAAGATTCAATAATCTCTAAATCTTCCTGTAAAATTTCCCCAGATTCTGCAAAGACAGTTGCAGAGCCGCCTAATCCACCTCCATCTCTGTCCTCAGAGATCCTTATACTTCCCCCTTCATCATCATTATCACCTAAACCCCCAATAACCTCCTCATTCATGTCTCCTCAAACAACATCTCTCACTGTATCGGCTACTTCCACCCATAAGCCAACCTCCGCAGCCTCAAAGCTCTCTTCCTCCTCCCAAACACCCTCTCTACCCAATGATAGTCCGTCTGTTCAGCCTCCTCTTACACGGATGCTCTCTCAGCCCCCGTCTCTGCCCAGAATCTTCCAGGCAGGCCCAGGTAAAGATACTGAGAGACAACATACAGCCTTGGTTTAAACTCTCAGTTGAATATTTCTGTTAGTGTAATGTGCTTCTTCTAAATATCTTGAAACTAACTGTGCTTTGTGTGCACTGTGCATGATGCAGAATGAACTTTTGAGGAGTTTAACATTTAAATGTTTCCTCATCGATGTCGTGTTTAGATTAGATTAGATTAGATTACAATAGATGAGCTTTATTGATCTCACAGCGGAGAAATTCACTCGTCACATATTGGCATAGTAATAAAGAAGGTGCAAACAAGGAGGAAAAAGGTGTATTAAGAAGATCAAAAATAGAAAGAAGGAAAAGAAAAGTAGGAGCCGATGTGACCGGCTGCTGCCTGCGCAGCGCCATCTTGTATAAGTTTCATCCATAGAGTCAAAGTGCCTATTTACGTCCAGTTTCATTTCCTGCCTTACATCTTTAATTGGATTTAGACTTTGGCTTCTAACATGTTAATGTGCTGGATCTGAACCATTCCAATGGCAGTCTGTCAGTATATTTATGGCCAGTATCCTCCCGGATAATGAACCTTCAAATCAACCCTAAATCTTTTACAACTTCTCATGTTTTCCTCCAAGTTCTCCCTGTATGAAGCTCCATCCATTGATTAGCTTCTTCATCATTACTGTACAAAAAGCTTCCACATAGCATAATACTGCCTTGGCCATGTTAAACTGAGGAGATTACATTTTAAAGATGATGCTCAGTGTTGTTTCCCACCATAATTAGTGTTTAACCTCTGAAAACCCACCAGGACTAACCTGTTTTAAAGGGTTTAGAAATAATAACTCAGAATGCATGAAAATTAGACAGGTAAACTGTTTACCAATATAGACATGTTAGACATCTTTGGAAAGCTCAGATTCTCCACAAATCAACCACCAAGTTCATTTTATGGACACAGCGAGCACCAAAGACCAATAAACACAGATATAGCTGCATGTCAAAATGTAAAGATGACAAAGCAGCCACAGCAAGCAAGCATGTCTTTAATACTGCTGTTCAAAAAAGACCTATTATCTTTGAGAACAAAAAAACAACTTTGAGTCTTGTTTGAACTGATGCAGCTTGGGCTTGATGCAGCTAGGGTGTTTTACTCAACCAATTTTCATGTATATATTCAGAAACTAGAAGGTGTTAGCTTTCAAATAATGCGTCACACATGTAATTTGTGCTTACAGTTCCTAAGTTATTTGCTTTTCCATTTGGGTATGCAAAACAGGCGAGAATTTCCCAAAAAGAGGTGGATGTTTAGAGGTTAAAACGAGGGCCACACACTTCCATTTTGGTCTCATATGACCAGAGAACCTTTTTATTTTAAATGGATTTTGGCAGATTGCAAACCGAACATTTTTTTTTTTCTGCACTTCCATAAAGGCAGATTGTTTAGTTATAATGTCAACATGTTTTCTAACCCGAGCTGTATATCCATGCAGCTCCTTCAGTTATCACATACCTCATGGCTGCTTCTCCATCTGTGTGTGGAGTTTCCTGGTCCTCATAATGCTGGTCATTCAGAATCAGAATCAGAAATACTTTAATAATCCCAGAGGGAAATAACTTTTGTTACACGCTCCAGTTACAGTTTTATATAATATATACACACATCCATCTATACAATATAATAAAGATAAAAAATAAGAATAAAAAGTGATAAAATATATACAAATATAGCTCTTCTGTATATATATCTATACGTATATCTATGCATATGTAAAAACTAAATCCAAATAAAGTGGAAAATCCAAGTAAAGTGATAAATCCGAGTAAAGTGATACGTGGCGTGCAAAAATAGTGCATAAATCAATAACGTTTGCTAACAAACCTCGTTTACACTGAAAATTAATGATAATGATAAAATTATATATCACCCCATTGATTGCAGTGGATTTTAGTTATTAGTATCAAAGTAAAAAGATCTTAGATACTATGCATTACTTTGGCTTTTCTCTGTCATGTAGATGCAATAAAATACACAGATGTTTTTGATTAAAAGATGCAAAATAGTTGAAGTTGGGTAAATATTTTTGCCTTGCGCTGTAATTACAAAGATCTGTCAAACTCAAAGGAAAAAAGCTACAAACATTGAAATGTTTCAAGCAAGATCTAAACTTTGAGAAGTTTCGTTTTAAAAACCATATCGGTAGCTTTTAACCTGTAGTGATCAAACGATCATGTTTCAAATGATAGCTTCTGGATGGAAAATGCCTTACTCTTGCAGCATCAGATGAGGAAGTTTGCAAACTCAGCAGGGGAAAGTGAAAGAAAAAGACACAGGCTCTTGTTTTGACTTGATGGTACGCTGTGAGATATATTAGAAGATTCAGATTTTTTTAAGCCAAATGACACAAAGATGTAATAAGGGAATGATTCCTACATCCAAATAACACTGCAAACTTAATAGACAATTGCAACGTGTTTTCTAAAACAGAAATAAACAAGAAATGCACGTTTTAATCATAGTGTGTCGTGGTTTCTAAACTGCATGCTTGTCTTTAACAGGTTCTTTTTTTCTCTTTGTCTCCATTTTATTTTGTTCTCTTCTAACTGCTTCTCTTTCCATTCTCCTTTAAGCTCCTATAAAGCATCAGCAGCGACCCCAAGAGGTTCAGAGTGCAGATGATTTTAATGGTGTGTCTCTTTTTTCACTCTTTAACCAACCTGTTGCTTATCCATTTGGTTCCTATAACTTCTCATCACTCCTCTCGCCTCCCCTGCCATTTTCCACCCTGCACATCAGGCCAGTCCCATGTTTTCAGACCCCAGGTTGTGAAATCTATCAATCGCCCAACCTCTCCCACACCTATATCTTCTCCACTTTCCTCCTCATCATCATCATCATCATCATCTCTCCCCAAATGCCCCCCCTCTGGCTCAGAGTCAGGTAATAACTGGGTTTGATCGTTACTCCCACATTTCCTGCCTCCTACTTTTCATGTAAGTTTTCTTTCTGTTTCCTGTTTTCCTTTCTATCCTTCCTCTCCATTTTCCATTAGTTACTAAGGGCATTTGGCCTCTTTCCGGCCCCCCTGCAACCACTGAAAACATCAGCCCCGTGCCTCTGCTGACTAGTCCAGATCTTGATTCTCTCTGTGACCCAGAGATTCCAGCTCGTTCTTCCACGCTTCTTCCCTCCTCATCTTATTTCTCATCCTCTCTCACTTTCATTCAACCTTCTGCTCCAGTCCTCTCTAGTCAGACAGGTACATCTGCTTTCTAATCAAACATTCTCCTTCATGTGTTCATACTTATCTCCCAAATGCTGAATCTGGACCAAATCCTGTTTTTCTGACTTCTATGGTATTTCCTTGTGGTTTCTTCTAATAGGCTCATCACTCCCTGTCCATCAGGTGGATAAAGAGACGACTTTAAGCCCAAAGAGCCAAGACAAAACCTCGCCTACAAGCTTCCAGGCAGAAATAAACAGAAAAACATCAGATCAGTCAAAGCTGATTATTACAGAGAACAAAGCTGGAAAGATCAGGTGAGTCTAGAGTTTCATTCCAAATCTCGATTTAGTCCCTTTAGACACAAGTACTATTAGCGAAAGGGGCAAAAACGGCTAACTAAACAGATCTTATAAAGAAACAAAGGAATAGATAATTTTTCTTGTGTTGTATTAAGATAAAATGAAAATGCAATGCCTTGCTAAAGTATTTCTAATATCAGATTTCACTGTTAGTTGTTTAAATTTTGTGTGGCAGACTACCACCAATTAGTGCGTAGTTGTGAAATGCAAGAAAATTGATATGTGGGTTTTTAAAACTTTACCAAGTGTTTACTGCCGTTTTTATTTTAGATATTTACCAGTTTTTTAAATCTAAAGACAGATTTTTAATTAGAAAAGGAGGAAAGTTTGGATTGAACTTCCACACATTCTAACAGATTCCAAATGTTTGCTGTTTTCCCTGTAAGGATGTAAGAAAACTGTGAATGTAACTTTTAATGTCTTCGTTTCACCATTTCAACTGTCTCACTACTCCTCCATCTGTGAGGTGCGCAGTTAACATTTACCCTTTCAACCTACTGTTGCAGCTTGGTTGTAAATCTGCAGCTTCTTCAAAGTTACTGTGGACATCTTGACTGCTTTATTGTTTAACGCTCTCCTAACATGGCTTTAATGTTTCCTCTTGGTAGATTTGTAGTTGTGTATTTGAGGATGGGGAAAAGGAGCTTTGTGTTCAAAACTTCAGGTCTATAATCTTAAGTGTGCTTTAAAATTCTCTACAACTTCATCCCTGGCCTGTCTGTTCTGTTTCTTGGTATTGTGATGCTCTTTCTCTAACAAACCTCTAAGATTTTATTTGGGGTAAGATAGTCAAGAGGGATGAATTCATGCCATTTAAAAAAAAAAAAAAAAAACATGAATTATCTTTCTTCCTTTTCTCAACTATATTGTGTTTTGTTAGTCTGTTAACAAAAGTCTGAATACAGTCCATGTAAACTTGTGGTCATGAAAGTGTCTAGTTGGTGTAAATAATCTGGAAGGTTACATAGGTGGAAAACTGGAAATAGGTTGTTTTCTTTGGAATTTTTTTTTTGTACATACAGTAGCTTATACTCCCTCGATTACCTTCATAACAAAAATACGTTACCGTAATTTTCGGACATAAAGCCGCAGAAGCTAAATTGCATGATTTGTACATATACAAGCCGCGCGGAACTATAAGCCGCAAGTTTTTTATGTTTAATTACCATATGGTTCGTGCACAGAGAGGATTGTCCGGAAAGAGGCAACTGTTTGGGGAAGCTCCTATTTATTATTTCTACCGGTACGTTTGTTTTCCATAAGGAGGATGTCACACAAACCGTCTAGCACTCGCAATGTCCGTCTTTCTCGCTGTCGTTCTGTCTCGTACAACTCGCGTTAGAAGTCTGCTTCCGGAGGACCTCCGCATTCCTGTGCGCGAGGCTACCTTACTTGTGTGTTGAAGCAAATGTGACGTCAACATGGTGGATGGTAAAATCCATAGATTAAGGTATTACCCTAGCGGCTGTTAGCTGTAAAAGTTCATAGATAAGCCGCATTGTTATATAATCCACAACGTCGAAAAATGGTTGAAAAATGGGGGAAAAGTCGCGGCTTATAGTCCGAAAATTACAGTAACTTTATTGATCTCACATTGGATAAATGTACCTCTACATTTAACCCACCCCCTTGGGGAGCAGTAGGCTGCCTTTGTAGGGCGCCCAGGGAGCCTGTGGGAGTTTGTTTTGACTCACAACCTCAGGGTTCCAAGCTCTATGCCCTAACCACTAGGCCGCCGCTCCCCCTTCATAAAAAAGTGATTTATAATTACAGTGAAGAAATATTTATTTCTTTACTTTAATTGAAACAATCTTTCATGTACCTCCAATCCTACAGGCACTATTTACAAAAGAAAATATATTTTACCCTAAATTCTGTGATGGGATGGGTCTGCTTGGCCAGACTTGTCAAACTTGTTGATGCCTGTGTAAATTTTCAATCATCCGTGTCATTGCAACCACAAACAGGCTTAAATCTTGCAGAAAAGAATCTCTTCAGTGGCTTTAAATGTGTTTTGGGCAATGCTGCATGACCATGCAAAAGAAACAGCTGACTGTTTAAGCGAAAACAAGACTAAATCACTGACTTACATTGTTGGCTGGGTTTGTGATAGGAAACTTCTACAAATGGCGTGTTTTCCTTAAATAAAGATTATTTGACATGATCAATATTTAGTTCAGGAAAACCAGTGTACATGTTCAACTGAATTTAAGAGAACATCCATTTGCTGAACGTAAAGAAAATTTATGAAATTATAATTGGTAGTTTTTATTTTCTTCTATCATTTGGAGCTAAAATCAACATTGAAATAATGGTTTGTACAGGTGTTGAGCAGTGTAGTCAAATTTAGTATCCCTGCATATGCAGTGAGTGTTTTTGTTGCATGCAAACTGTTTACCATCATAAAGGTCTGATGTCTGATGGGACGTTGCTCGGTTTGCTGTGGTTAGATCACATTTGGCTCAATGAGCAGGTTTAAAATTCAACGTGAGACAAGTTAGAATGATTTTCTCTGCACTTCATGATTCAAAACAACACATGATTGGTTCGCTAGCAAAAATATATGATTTATATCTATATATGATTTAATATATATATATATAATTAACTTAAAATTTAGTAGAGAAATTGTTATTAAAATAAAATCAGATTTTGAAACTACCATCCTTGCTGTCAATATTTTTCTAATATTTGAAGTTGTGATATTTTAACTCACAGAAAGGGTTTGGCGTGTGCTTCATCTCATGTGTTTCCAGTCTTCTTATTCAAAGTCAAACTTATTTATAATCCTTGGATGGAAAAGGAGGAAATCCACTGGCTGACTTGTCTGTAGGTCTTATTGCTAGATGAACACATGCTACAGAACTTTAGCTTTAGATATTTCTAATTACCAGATGTTCTCCCAAAAATGGTGTTCAGAGGGAATCTATTGATCATCTTTTAAAACAAAAACAGAAAGGTAAACCGAGATTTTTAAAAGTTACTCAGTTACAAACTAAAAAAGTTTTTTTTAATCATTCTTATCTTAAATCTCTGAATCAGATTAAGGAAACAATAAAAATGTATTATCATAGTAATAAATAAGTCATTTAATTCAGTTGCAGTAGGAATTATTGTTGTCATTAATTAGGATTTTATGTAGATATTGTACCTGTGTTAGGATTTATTTTTTTCATGTAAGAATAGATTATTGAAAGGCATTTATTCTGTAACCGGAAACAGGGCAGGGTTTTACAAAACATTTCTGAAGCTGATTGATGTTTATCTTCGTCATCTTTGGGTGTGAAAGAGCTAAGACAGCAGTTAGCGCTAAAACCACAGACAAATCATCTCAGCCCTCAAAACAGATTTTTTTTTTTCTTTGCCAAAACTATTTTCCAAGTTGACTGTTGATCTGTTTGTGTAAAACCCAACTAAACTGAGATTCAGAGTCAGACAAACAAACTACTAACAGCTACTTTTCATAGCTTAGTGAAGCCCTCCTTCTTTCACAGTAATATTCATAGTTTTGATGTTTTGTATACGGACTAATGACTGAGTATTAACAGGTTAGAACAAGTTTACCTTACTTTACCAGCACCCATGATGATCCAAATGGCTCCAAGCTAACCAACCTGAGTGATTCATCTCACTGATATGAATCAAGGCTTCTGAGAATTGTCTGTCTGCTGCTCATTGACATGTCATGTTGCTTTGTACGTCTGACTTTGGAACTTCCACGATGCTAACATGAGTTAACCTCTGCACTTTGCTTCCTGTTGCCCCCTCATTTTAAGATAACCCACGGCTCTGCAGTTTGTCTCCTTTAAGTCTGACTGCTTATATCTCTGTCCTCAGTCCTGCTCAGCCCTGCTCAGAGCTGATCATAGCCCCGCCACCTCCCTGGCCTTTTTCCTGCAGTGAGAGCTCCGCCCCTGAGCAGCCCTCCACCACTGTCGTAGCTGCATTTATCACACCTAAGCAGCTGAATGTTGAGGGAAAATCTGAACTGAAAAAGTTAAGCGAGGGAGTTACGAGCGAAAAAAACATTTCCCCAACAAAACCTGAGGTTTACAATGAAGACGTTTTTAACCGGTCCCTTAACCAGAGGCAGAAATCAGGGGGATTGTTTCTGGAAGAAGATGACTTTAGGTGTGATACTATCAAAAGGTGTCCTCCAGGGTGAGTTTTGTTGAATCTTAATGGAAAGATCAAAGTCACAAAATGAGTAGAAAGTGCCTTTGCAAAAGCATTCACTATTTTTACCATTTGTTCACATTATATATATATATCTACGGTATGTAAAAATAAAAACAGGTTCATTGTGTTTCACTGGTGTTTTTATGTGAAAGACCAACACAAAGACCTGAACGATTGATAAATGGAAGAAAAAGATACTTTGTGAGGTGAATTGCATACTTAAATAATTTAATTGGTAAAAAGATTTCACCTTCAGAGGCATAGGAGATTTGATAGAAAACAGAAGAATGGAATTGACTCTTTTTTCCAGCTCTGTCTGGCCTCTATAACTGCAGCAAGATGTGGTCCTGGTCTGGAGTCAGGGGGCCTGACTGCCAATTTACCGCACACGTTCTAGATTTGTATTTGTAAAGTATGTTCAAAACATCAGAATTAGAAATAAAATAGTATTTTTCCTCTCAGTTTTGTGTTTCTCTGTTACATGAAATCCCAATAAAGTACTTCAAAGTTTGTAGCTGTAACATGAAAGAAATGTGAACAAGTTTAGGAGTAGGAATGCTTTTTAAATGCACCATGAAATAAGACTGCAAAGTATACTGACAAAGAAGATACAAAGGTTAAGCCTTTTTATTTATCTGTTCTGCAGTCTTGAAAATAAAGCAAATGAAAAGACATCACAAACAGAACAGTTAGAGGGAGCGTCCGTACAGACGGAGCACCAGAAGCAATCAGATATCCAGAAAAAAGAAGAGGAGCAGAGCCGGAAAGAGGCAGAG